CCAACCTTCAATGGGAGGACGCAGAGATGGATGATGAAGTCATTACAAAAGTGTAACCAGCAGTGTGCCCGTGCTTTGTGCCTCGTGCTGTGTTCAAGGCTCTGCTTAGAAGGTGCTCTGGGGGTGAGTGCACGGCTCCCATCTCCCTCCTCACCATCACTTCCCCCAACTCCTGCTGCCTGAGCGCCTGATTCATCTTAGCTGGAGTTGGGGGAACGTGTGAATGAAAGAATTCAAACCAAGATGTGCGTGATGGATGGCCACACAGGGCTGTGTGCTATGAAAGTGAAGCCCCTCTTTCAGAGAAATACCACTCTGAGGATCGACTTCAGATGTGAGGGGCAAGGAGCCAGGCCAGCTGTGTGGAGCTGTATTCCTGCCAAGTGACTGAATGTCTGCTTTCAGGCGGTTTGTGGAGCTGCCCCAGTCCTCCCCACCGTCCACCCACTTCTTCCAGTGTCCACAAAAGGTCATAGAGAGAAGAGATGCTTTAGTTCTACATATTTAGTATCAACATACTTAGCATCACATCTTTGTATTCAGGGTTGCAATGTATGTGCATACATTTTCTATGGGCCTTAAAAATACCTGTGCAGAAGGACCAGGGCTCTAAGGAAATTCTGATAGATTGATCCCTTCTTTATCAACTGCAAAAATGACTTTCATATTCAGCTCATGTAACCATTAGCTAACCCCTTGGCTTCTCCGGCACCTTTGCTCACTTGCCTTTTGTTATCTGTACATCAATCCCTGGAATCTGAGCATCCTGGATTGCTGTAGAGGTACTTGGTCTCAGCGGAACGTGACCTCCAGGCTAACTAGAGCGCTGCCTGAGCTTTGCCCTGGGACTTCCACTGGGCCTCTGCAGAGGTGATCCTAACTCAGCCAGCACTGGCGGGGTTGAATTTCATATAGTCGATAAAATCTTTTGTACAAGGAAATGGATTGTCTAGCTTTGTTGAGATTTCTCTATTTTTGGAGTCCTGTGATGGGAGAATTACTACTGGAATGAGGAAATGGTCAGTCTCATTAAATTAGAATCAGTATTTATTAATATAATTGTACTACACTTGAAAATTCCAACTTTAGTATCTTGTATGAGTAAATATACTTATTTTTCTCAAGTCTAAGTCTTCATATAGGCCCTGATATCAAGAGACTAATTGCACAAAGGACTCCTGACAAGCTCGTGATGATTTCACTATAGCTGGGCCTACGTAAGCGCAGACCTGCTTCGGATGTTCAGAAACATTGTTCTGTTCTGTGTCCAGGCCAACTCTAGCTACTGTAACTAATGCTTCAGCCTTGTATTGAACTTAAGTAAACACCTACACTCTGAAACTCCTCTGTGCTTATGCCCATCTTTGGAGTCGAGTTTATTGACACATACACTCTGTCCCTTCAGTGACAAAGCTGACAGCTTCAAAGTACTTTCACTGAAGCCTGCGAGAAGAGGGGAGACTCAAGAAGTTCCTGGTACTTGCCAGGGCTGGGAGAGGGAGGATCATGCAAAGTGGCCAACGTCTCTTGGCACAGACATGTGCCCTTGAGATTCCTTATAGCAGAACATGACGTTCTGGCCTCTATCAGGATCCAAACCACTTTCAAAGTGCTATACTTTGCTCTGAGTGGCCAAATATCATAAGCATCACTCAGTTTTAACTTACATAACCCTGGCATTCCAAAGGCAACATGCACCACCATGCAGAACCGATGCGGTGTTTGTATGAAGGTAGTAACGCTTCAGACGGCGCTTAATCTCAAAAGATAGTGTCAAATCATTCTCAACTTGAGATGTGTGCTTGACAAGCATTCTTCTTGCCCTGGACTTTTGTTCATAGCACTTCAAAACTCTGTGAGAGAGAGAGAGAGAGAGAGAGAGAGAGAGAGAGAGAGAGAGAGACAGAGACAGAGACAGAGACAGAGACAGAGACAGAGGGAGACAGAGAGGGAGAGAAACACTGGGTCCTGCACACCGAGGTCAGCTCTCTGCACATAGTTTTCCAGTTCCTGACCCTTTTGGATTGTGACTGGGCTGGTCAGCAGATATGTAATTTTACTCCCAGACAGCAAAGACTGTGACAATAGGCCAAAATCTTGTCCAACATCTACTTTTTAGTATTTACATCCAGCAAATGATACTGTTTTGTTTGGGTAGTTGATAAGAGATACCCAAATACTTTGTGAATTGGGAGACAGGCTACCATTTGCTAGTGTGTGTGTGTGTGTGTCTGTGTGTTTCTGGAGATAAAAGTTATATTCAATTGATGTGATTCTTACTAGATCTAAGAGGGATCAAACTCACTGCCTAGTGAGATACTAGAATGCAGGACTTCAGTGGTAGGGGCTTTTCTCCAGCCACTTTCACTTGCAGATTGAATTCATTTCAGACCCACAAGCAACTAGCTCAAGTTTACACAGGGAGTTGGTAGCTGACCAGGGTCTGGAAATTCTTTCTACCAAGAGTGTATTGATTCTCCCAACTACAAGCTGGAGAATTAGAATTCCTTTTTGCACCTGTAATGCTTTTGCTGCAGCAAATCTTAGCAGAAAAAAGATAAAGGCAATAGGTAAGAATTTGATGATAGAGTCTTGGATCTTTCGATACATGGGCTTTTCATGGAAGTCTTTTGTTTTGTTTTTGAGATGAGGTTTCACTCTGTAATCCAGGCTGGCCTTGAATTCTCAGAACTCACTATGTAGCCCAGGCTGGTGTCAAACGGGCGAGCCTTTGACCTTAGACTAAGTGCTGGGATTACAGTCATGGGCCACAAAACCTGAAGTCATATATTTACTGGTCACAAAAGAAATTAAAAGTACACATTGTATGTTTTAGTAAGATGAAAAAGCTATGCAAAACTTACACAATACAAGATGACATGTGCCTATTCCTGAGATGTAATTACAGAAAGAAGTTATCCAAGCAGAAGAGCCTGGCTTAGAATTTGTGGAATGTCTCTTGTAATCGATATTGTTGGAAACGCACAGAGAAGTGAAATGAACAAGCAACCAGCCCTGCTGTTTGCCTCCTTCCTGTTTCTATTATACTCACCAAGGAATTTAATTTTGGATGCTCTGACAGGTACAGGAAGGAGTGAGGTGCAGAGGGGGCTGAAGTCTCCAGAGCTGGCTTTCAGGAGCTCTGACAATGCTGTGTTCAGAAAATTGCTGTAAATGGCTTTCAAAGCCCCAGAGTTTGTTTAGAGAAAATCTTGATGGCATTGATAGATTCCTCCTCTTCTGACAGTCACAAAGAAAGGGTGTAGTGTAGAGAATTAAACGATTCATTCCAAACATCTTATGGGTTCCCTTTAGACCTCCTGCTCCGATCCACTGTGGCTGCGCTCCAACCTTTTCATCTGTGGTGAGGTCATCTTGTTGGGGCACACAAAAGGATTCCAGGGGAACACGAGTCCCGGGCTGCGGCTATTCAGAGCATTCATCCCTCCTGGCTGCTCAGCGCTAACAATGAACCTTCTCAGCCTTACATGTGTCCCTCACTGCTGCCGCCCCAAGACAGGGGTTAGATGCCTTTCAGGGAACCCCCCGGAGGCACACAATGCATTTATTATAATGTCCAAGCCCTAAGAAGGGCCTGGGAACATTGTGGAGGGGCCTATAATTAAGTTCACTTAATAATAAAAAACCCACACACTTCTTAGCTATTGCAAGAAGTGAAAATAAAACCATCCTCTCCCTCTCCTTTCCCCTCCCAGTCTAGCCCTCTCTTTTACAAATAAGAAAAGCCACAGTTCTATTTTCTTTTTTTAAGTAACAATTGCAAAGGACTTCGGCTAGTAGGGAAAGGGAAATTAAATTACTGGAGAACATTCCTTCCATGTCCAAAAAAAAAAAAAAAACTTTTGCCTACTCAGGTAGTTACACACGGAGAGGATTTGTTAAAAGCCCCTTTCTCTAATCACTCAGATTCAGCTTCCAAAGGCTTCTCTGGGCAGTGACCCACTAGCAAAGGGACCCTCTTTGGGACTAAGTTGCCACTTGGATGGGCACTTTCTCAGGTCACCAGTGTGCCCAGGAAGGAGGGAGCAATTAGCAGTGTCCCCCCACAGTGTTCCACATCCTGGTCTCCATCTCTGAACGCCCGTATGTGTCCCTAGACAGCTTCTGAGGACGAAGGACAGTAAGAAGTTTCCGAAAATATGGAGAAGCTATAGAAGTGAAGCCACACTGGAAGAGCCAAGGCTGAGGCAGTAGGAATGACGCAGGGGACACACACAATGGCCATGTGACATGCACTACTGAGAGGACGGAGTGGAACAATGTATGAAATTATTCAGCAGATTGCTGCTGCAAAAACGTGAGCTGTCATTAGTATTAATTATGCAACTACACTTTAAAGGTACTTATTAGACTGAAATTGCATCATTGGATGATTCAATTCACAGAACAAGCATCTGGCTAGAAAAACAAGGCAAACCATGTGGACACACAGGGTAATTATACCATATTGGAAATTTGATTGCTTTTCATTTCTTTTCTTAAAATGTTTTTGCAGTGCGTGTGATTGAACCCAACCGAGCACATGCTAGGCAAGCACCGTACCACTGAGTTACGTCTCTAACCCTTACTTTTGTTTTTCTTCTACAGTTGATGAGCACGAAACATGGTAGCAAAAGAAATAAATGGACATTATCTTTTCTTTTGTGCTATCTATAATTATCTAAAATGAAATTATAGACCCAAACAATTTCAGTGTATGTAGCTGAAGAATGTGACATTATTAACAAGACTAGGTTTTCCAACCTAAAAGAAAGCACACACACATCAGTGCCCCAGTGTTTCTGACTACATTGTCAATGGCAAGAGGAGCTTCTTACCACATGGGTAGAGAGAGATGAACTGGCTTTTAAATTGTGACAGCAAGCTCATGGATAAAGGTCAGCACAAGAATGGGAAGGTGGGACTTTGAAAGAAAAAAGAACCAGGCCTCAAAAAAGCTTTTAAAAAAATAGTGAAAGAAATCTCCAATTGCCACTCAGTTCAAGCATTCTGCCTTTTACTTTACGTTTAAGTAATTTCTATGTGAATGTTTTCAATAAATAGTTTGTCGTACAAGCATTTGCTATTTTGACTACTGTTTTAAACATCAAAACACAGTAGTGGGGAAATTTTGAGAAGCATTAGAAGAATAAAAAGCAGTTATTTGAGTCAAGAAATCTTTATCCTTCCACTCGCTCAGGCAGTAGAAAGAATCAGACATTTGCTCTTCATTACTAAAAGGGTTTTTTAGAAGTCACTTGGGAAAGCAAGCATGCTAACGATCTTTTGATTCCTTTTGGCTTTGGTCAAGAAAATGGAATTACTGAGAAAATCCAACCTTTATAAAATACTGCTGTTGGAACAATTTTTCAGTGGGTTAACTACCCGCTGGGGGGAAAAACTGTTTGCTGGATAATACAGAAGGGAGAAAATAAAGATACTCACTAGACAAAAACATGGTAGGTGGCATGTACAGAGATTTAAGTACAACATGAAAATGTGGCCTCAAAGGCTCAGTTTGATAGAGTCACTTTTCCTACTGGAAAAAATAAGGCCAAACACTGCAATTCTTTACTGCCTTTTTAACCCCGACCTTTTATAAAATCGATTCTTCTGAGGACTTCTAGACCCCTCAGTGATTGTCCGTTTCCATGTGCCAGTCCCCTGGTTACTCTTCTGAATTCTGATTACCAGACAAGGCGCAGGAAGAGCCAGAAATGCCAGAATTACACAGTGACTGCCTGAGTTCGCTTTGTATTTATCTTCTTTTGAGAATACTCTTTATTCCTATCTTGTTTCAAGTCCTAAGGTCGTTAGGGTAGTAAAGGGCATTTGTTAAACATTGGACAACATGGTAGAGGTGAAGATCTGCTGTAGAATCCGAGGGATGTCCTTAGTGTCCATGGCAATGAAAGATCGGCCGGCTGGTAGAGTTCTCTGAAGCCTGCCAAGAGAGAAGGGAGAAAAAAATGATCAGTGCAAGCTGAGACTTCCCTTCCACCTCCTGCCCTGGTAAGCCAGGAGCATCCAAATGGGTCTTGAGGAAAGGAAGTTTTCACTTCCATCTTGCTACTGCCTGCAATTGAATTGGCTGTTGCTAGGCAACAAACAGCCTGGGAGAGCAACAGGCAGAGACCCAGTGAAAGCAGTGAACCGAAAGAAAAAGTCTTTTCAGTTAGAAAATCAGTGAATTTGAAGAGAAAAATTCGTCCCTTTTCATGACTGTCAAGTCCTGGTATTTAATATTCCCTCCATTAGACAGAGCACTAGGGGCCCATCTGGAGTTAGCTCACCTGGGTCCAGCAAAATGTGTTGACCTCATACTGGACTTCAGAATACTTTTCCTTCCAGCCCCCAAAAACATTCCCAGGTGTTCTCCCCCACCCCCCCCCCTTTTTTTTGTTCCATACCATACAACATGAACTGCAATCTGGATTACCCAATAGCTACTTTGATGACATTGAGGTTATACAGGCTTATAGTGTTTTTTTTAAATGCCAATTTGCCATTTGAAACAAAAGGCCATTTTTGAAGGCAATAAAACTGCAAGACACAGTTTTATTCAAAAGAATGCCTCCTTTGATTGTGCCAACAAAGTTTGGTTTTGGAATGACATTTCGTGAAAGTCAACCATCCTGCGTCGTATCATACATTTGGCATGCCCGGTAGACCAGCTAACTCTGCAACGTATCTTTTGCCAGTGGATGTTGGACCATTTCCCTAGGAAACCACAAGGGTATTATTGTGCCTTCTTAAGTACTCAAACAGGATCTGTTCACTAGAAAGACAAAATAGTCATTTCAGCTCAACCATTTGGGTTTGCTGTCCGCCTAATACTGAGCTGGTGCTGAGGAAATATGGGGGGGAAGATATGCTTTGCATTCAAGGACAAGAAGGTTCCAGAAGATGGAAAGTCTAATGCGTGAAAGTGAGGAAAAAGTCAGTTGTAATAAAGTGACTGTGATCACATGCTATTAAGTCTGTTCTTAACTTTATAAGCCTGAAGTAAGATGAAGAAAATAAGAAGAGAAAAAAGATGTTAATGTTGAGATGCTAAATAAAGCATTTCTTAGTTTATATAGGACTCTGGGCCACAGACTATGTGGAAAAGCAAAAATAGGCCCTTGTGCCTTAGGAAGGATTTTTTTTTTTTTGCAGAGATGTTATGCTTTCACTTGTGTTCTCTGCTTTTTATAAGTATGCTAAAAGAAAAACCATAAGGTCTTTCTATTTGTACTTCAAAAAGATAAATGGTAGTGTGTTTAAGTTATAAAAGTGTTTCCAAATCTCTCCTTTCATGTCATCTCCAGTGATATTTATTATCTGACTGTAAATTTTTCCAGTCAGTATTCAGCACACTCAGTGTGGTATGTAACTAGTATAATGTCTTACTTTGTCTCCAAGTATTTCATCTGCCCTGTATCACCAGTAAAGATGGATATATTTATAAAACTTACTGGAGAGACAGTTAATTTTATACACACATATGCATACTGGAGATATCAGTACACACATATGCATACCTGTACATATGTATGTCTACATATAATATATAGAGACATTAATATATACTTTTTATGCCACAAAAATACTAGACGCTCATTATTTTGAATATAACTTGAACATAAACTAATTAGACTGATTTTTTGGGACTCTGATATTAAGTGCCAAATTTATAAAATACTTAACTTGCTAATGGACAAGTCAGTTTGCTAATTTTTTTGTTAGTTTAAATAAAAACTGAAAATAAGTAATTTTAAATTATGATTGCATATGCAAACAAAATCTAGATAATCATATTCCCTCAACTAGACTGCAAGCTCCTTGAGGGTAGCATCGCCCAGATTCTGTTTTTCGTCTGTGTCCCCACTGCCTTTCATGATGCTAAAATCATGAGATCCAGTAGTCCTCCACTTGACCTTAGCGGTAGGTTGTGCTATGTGATGACACTTACCTGGTTGCTTGATCACCTAAAGATCCAATAAAAATAGCAAAAGCATTTACTTGAGGTTCACTTGTCAGGATCTGAGCGAACTTTGCAGGATGTATTCCATATCGTGACAGGTTTGCATCACTCAAGACTATGACAAAATACTCATCAGCTTCTTCTTTGACAATTTCCTTGATGGCATGTTTTGTCCCCTCTAGTGTATGGTCCCCACTCATGCAGAACTGTGAATGGGCATGCATTGTCTGGAGGTTAAGAAACAATTAGGAAAGCCACAGGTGAGAAGCTGATTTTTATACCAACGTCATGATTCTACTGACCATTAAAATGCACAAATATCAATTATTACAGCTCAGCAATAAGTCCTGAGTGAGTTTATTTAATTTGCACATGAGAGTGACAGCAAGACATGGTGATATATTTGGCAGACTTTCATTAGAAACAAGAAATATTCCAAAACTCTCACAATTGCTACTTACTTTTAAAACTCAAGCTTCCACGTAAAGTGAGAACTTGTAAGAAAGTATAAAAACTTGGTATCACAGTTGAGGATGGGTGTGATACAGGAGAAAAATGAGGAATAGCTTAAGTTTCTAATTATTATACTGTAACACTAAACACTATACTCACATCAGCAGCAATGGAGGAAATTTGATTGAAAATCATGAGTGTATTTTTTTTATCACAGATGTAAGCATGTAAAATTGAATTTATCCTTAGAAAATATTAAGCAATACATAAAATTGAGCCTACAGCGTACTCTAAAAGGGTAAATTTTTTTTGCCTTATACTTAACATGTAGGACAAATGAGAAGATGCAGTTATAGAATCGTTTTTCTTAAAATGTTTTATTTTAAAAAGCAAAACAGAAAAAAGGATAGATATATATGTGTGTTAGAATCTTAATGCAATACTGACAGATACAATCCCAAGCCAATATTGATTACTCTGAAAATATCTAGCAGCAAATTAAAATTTGCATGGCATAGAAAAGGATTTTAAGCAAGATGTTTTCTCTGTTTAATGCCTGAATGTGAAACAGTCTTTTTCTTTCCTTTTTTTAACCTAACGTGATAGAATTTTTTACAATATAGAGATAACTGAAGACATTTACCTTCAGAATTTCTAGTCTTTGCTTATTGTCCTTTGGAATTTTGTCAACTGGAACTAGACCAATGTTGTAGCCATCTCCAGAGTGTCCAGTGATATCGTACTACATGCAAGAGAATCAGAGAGTTAGAAACCTCTGAACACTGTGGAACTATCTTTGGATCATAAATCTCCAAGTGTTTGGGCTATTAATTATCTAAATTGCTCAGCATTTAACCATAGGAAATGCAGAGAGACAGACAGTGTTTAACAACAAAGGCAAACAAATTCTACATTTGTTCATTTCAGATCCATCTCCTTTGTGACCAGGGGTCTTTACAAGCAGTAGAAAGTATTCAGGTTGCTCTGGATTCCATTCATAACTTTCAGGGGAATCTTTTTACCACCCCATTCCACACCCCACATATTGATTGACAGAATTAAGGGTGGTCTTGAAGCTCCCAGCTCCCAGAATGCCTGCTCTTTATAACCTTCCATAAGTGTGGGCAGGACCTGTAAATAAGATGGGCTGTCACGTGTGATTATGTTTATTTATACAGCAAAGGAACTTGGCAGATGTAATTAAATTTATTTGATTTTGAGTCACTCAGAAGGAAGATAAATTGGGAGAGAATACTGTAATCACATGCCCTTTAAAAGCAGACACTTAGGCCATGCCCAGAGAACTCCAAGCAGCTGGCAGGGGCCTAAATTCAGTGCCAGGCACTGAGCGTGCGTGGGTTGAAACCCAGAACACAGGGAAGCCTTGGAACGTTGCTCCCTGCTGGTAAGACCACACCCCACATTTCAAATCACAGGAGGACACATGGGAGGCCCCGTGGGCCTAACTGGCCCACATAGAGCAAACTCCGAGCTGCTAGCAGTTGCCTGCTGTCTGTCCCGGGAGCCAAAAGTGGGCCAGGTGATTCCCAGTGCAGGGGGAAGCTTTGAAACATTGCTCGAAACCCAAAACAGGAAAATGACAAAACGAAAGAGCAAAATGCAATCTCAAACTTCCCACCCAACCCAAGCAAGCCTAGGAGGCATGGACACAGAAGAAAATATAAGCCATACACCTGAAATTCCTGAAATGATAACAACTGAAGTAAATAAATAACTCTGGGAAGCTATAAAAGAACTCAAATCAGAAATAGTCTCCCAGGTAAAAGAAGAAATGATAAATGTAATGAAAGAAATGTTGAACACATCTAAAGAAAATATAGTTAAAAAATTAGAGAGACAATGCAAAAAGATGGAAACTCTGAATGAACAATACAAGAAACAACCAGAATTCATGAAGCATATTAAAAAAGATATACAGGAAATAAAAAATTCCATCAAAAGTTGGCAAAACTACCTCAACGAATGTGAAAATAGGATTTCAGACCTTGAAGACAACATTGCAGCTAGTGAACAAGAAAGGAAAGATCTTTTAAAAATAACAAGGAACCAGGAAATAACAATTGAATAACTGTAAGATGAAGCAAAGAAAAACAATATAAGATTGATAGGTATAAATGAAAAGGAAAGTGATAACACAAGTGATATCAAGAGGCTATTTACAGAGGTAATAGCTGAGACATGAGAATGGAAACTGACATACAGATCAGTGAGGCATATAGAACTCCAAATAGCCATAACCAAAATAAAACTACACCCAGACATATAATAATCAGCATCCCAGAAATCCAACACAAGAACAGAATATTAAAAGCTGCTAGAGAGAAGAGACAGATCATCTATAAAAGAAAGCCTACAGACTCACAGCAGACTTCTCAACACAAACATTGAAGTCAAAAGAGCACCGAGTGAAGTATTTCAAAACCTAAAGGAAAATGACTTTCAACCCAGAGTGATGTACCTTGCAAAATTGTCCTTCAAAATGGATGGAGAAATAAGATACTTCCACGACAAAGGACAGCTGAAGAACTTCATGACCACCAAACTAACCCTGCAAAGAATACTCAAAGACATTCTAGACAGACATAGGAAAAAACCACTAAACAAGGAAAACAAACAAAGCGGAAAGGTAAAGAATCAACAGCAGAAAGATAAGATGTCAAAAGTAAACCAATATACATGACTTATAACCATTAATGTAAATGGCCTCAACTCACCAATTAAAAGAAACAGACTAGCAGAATGGATCAAGAAACAACATCCAACCATATGCTGTATACAGGAAACTCATGTAACCTAAAAGGAGGGTCATAGACTGAAAGTCAAACATTGGAAAACAATATTCCATGCAACAGGATCCCCCCCAAAAGCAGGGGTAGCTATTCTGTTTGCAGAACTTCAAACCATGAATGATCCAAATAGATAAAGACGGCCATGACATACTAGTTAGGGGAAAACTTCAAGAGGAAGAGATAACAATCTTAAATATATATGCACCAAATTCGGGAGCACCCAGCTATATGAAACAAATATTAACAGAAATGAAAAACAAAATAAATGGGGCTGGGGATTTAGCTGAGCGGCGTAAGTGCCTGCCTTGAGAGCAGGCAGTTGTGAGTTCGATCCCTGGTACCAATAAAAAGGAAAAAGACAAAAAAAAAAAAAAAAAGAAAAACAAAATAAATAATAACACAATCATAACAAGAGACCTTAACATGCCATGACACAAAGACACAGATCAACTAGACAGAAAATCAGCAAATAAATAACAGAACTGAATCACTCCTGTGAACAAATGGACTTAGCAGATGTATACAGAGTGTTCCTCCCAATAACATCAGAATATACATTCTTCTCAGCAGCACATGGAACTGAAATAGATCATATACTAGCCCAAGGAACATGCTTAAGTAAATGCAAAAGAATTGAAATTATTCCATGCATATTATCAGATCATAGTACCATAAAACTAGAAATTAATGACAAAAGAAACTGCAAAAAGCCCACAAACATATGGAAATTGAATAATACACTCCTGAGCAATCAGTGGGTTACAGAGGAAATTAAACAATAGTTGCAGGCAAATAAAAATACAAATACATCTTACCGGAACCTGTGGGACTCAATGAAAGCAGTCCTCAGAGGAAAATTCATTGTGGTGAATTCCCACATCAGGAAAACAGAACAAACACAAATAAACAACCTGATTCTATACCTCAGATATCTAGAAAAAGAGCAAGTCAAGCCCAAAGCCAAAAGAAGGGAGGAAATTATAAAGGTCAGAGAAGAAATCAATACAATAGAGACTAAGAAAATAATTCAAAGAATTAATGAATCAAAAAGTTGGTTCTTCGACAGTATAAATAAAATTGACAGGCTTCTAGCCAACCTTATTAAACAAAGAAAAGAAAAAAAACCTCATGCAATAAGGAATGAAAAGGGTGAAATCACCTCAGACCCTGTGGAAATACAGAAGATCACCAATACCTATTTTGAAAAGTTCTACTCTCATAGGCTTGATAACACAGAAGGAATGGACAGATTCCTAGAAACATATGAATTACCAAAGTTGGGTCAAGAAGATGTAAAACTGCTGAATAACCCAATTTCAATGAACAAAATTGAAAATGTAATTAAATCCCTACCAACAAAGAAAAGCCTTGGTCCAGATGGATTCACTGCAGAATTCTACAAGAAACTCAAAGAAGATTTAATGCCAGACTCTCAGACTCTTCAATGAATTTGAAACTCAAAGAAGATTTAATGCCACTCCTCAGACTCTTCAATGAAATTGAAAGGGAAACAATCCTCCCTAACTCATTATTCTACTACCAAAACCTTAGAAAGACCCAATCAAAAAACAAAACTACAGGCCATTTCCCTAATGAACACAGATGCAAAAATTCTCAATAAATTTTGGCAAACAGAATGCAGAAAATCAAGAAGATTATACACCATGACCAAGTGGGACTCATCCCAGGAATGCAGGGATGGTTCAACATATAATCAATAAATGTAATCCACCATATCAATAGAGCCAAAAATAAGAACCACATGATCACTTCGATAGATGTAGAAAAAGGTTTTGATAAGGTCCAACACTTATGCATGATAAAAAGCTTACAGAAAATTGGAATAGATGGTCTTTACTTCAATATGATAAAAGTCATCTATAACAAACAAACAGCCAGGATCATATTAAATGACCAAAAACTGAAATCAGGAACAAGACAAGGATGTCCATTATCACCACTCCTATTCAATACAGTGCCGGAAATACTAGCCAGAGCAATTAGACAGTAGAGAGAAATAAAAGGAGTAAGGATAGGAAAAGAAGAAGTTAAATTATCATTATTTGCAAATGACATGATACCCTACATAGAAGATCCCCAAACTCCATTGAAAGACTCCTAGATATAATAAATAAATTCAGGAATGTAGCTGGATACAAGTCAACACAAAAATCAATAGCATTCCTATACACTAACAACAAAATCACTGAAAGAGAAATAAGAGAAGCCACATCCTTTACAATAGCATCCGAAAAAATGAAATTCTTAGGAATTAATCTAACAAAAGAAGCAAAAGAGCTATTCAGGGAAAATTATAATATCCTGAAAAAGAAATCGAAGAGGACCTCAGAAAATGGAAAGACATCCCTTGCTCATGGATAGGAAGAACAAACATTGTGAAAATGGCCATTCTCCCAAAACTGTTATACAGATTCAATGCAATCCCAATAGAAATACCATCAACATACCTTATAGATCTAGAGAAATCACTCCTAAATTTCATCTGGAACCAGAAGAGACCTAGAATCGCAAAGGCAATTCTAAGCAGCAAAGACAAAACAGGAGGCATCACAATCCCTGACTTGAAGTTGTACTACAAAGCAACAGTAGTAAAATCAACATGGTATTGGAATCAAAACAGAGCTGAAGATCAATGGAATAGATTAGAAGATACAACCACAACTACAAACACACTCAACCACCTTTTGATAAAGGGCCAAACACGTCCACTGGAAGAAAGATAGTCTCTTCAATAAATGGTGCTGGAAAAATTGGCTCTCCATATGCTGAAAACTAAAACTAGACCCATGCCTATCACCATGTTCTAAACTACAGTCCAAATGGATCAAAGATGTAAATATTAAAACAGAAACCCTAAATTTGTTGGAAGACAAAGTATGTAAAAATCTTGAAGACACAGGAGTAGGTAGAG